GACCATTCTAATCAGGGACACAATAGAAATTCCTGGATAGAATGGGAGAAAAACGTAGAACAAAACTCACATTCCTAAAAAAATCCAGACCTACTGGACCAATAGACTAGAGGAACCCCCAAGACTATTGCCCTAAGATACCTCTGAACTTGGAATTGAAGCTATTTCTGCAGGTCACCTTTTACCCAAATAATAGATTGGCTTATAAAATAAACAATATCACCCGTGAGTAATGTGCTCCCTTAAACAATTGACTATATGAGACCAAACCATCAACAGTTACCCAAAAGCAAAGATGAGACAGCAAAAAGAGGAAGGGAAGCTACATCAATGGAAACAGATCAAACAGAATGGAAATAATGAGAATGCCGACCCTTTGTAAAAATTGTAACCAATGGCACAGAACAATTTGTATAAAAAATTGTTAAAGGGGAAACTAATTTGCTGTGTAAACTTTCACCTAAAACACAATAAAATATTATTTTTTAAAAAAAGCTGACATGATTTGATAATGGAATCTGAAATACGGGATGGGAGAAAATGACAAAATTTGATAATACTCCTATATTTTTGGTCTAAAATACTTTGTGATTGGTGGTCTCATTTAATGAGATGAGAAAGTCTAGGGAAAAAACAGATTTGAGGATGAAAATCAAGAGTTCTATTTTGGACATTGTGGTACAGTTTTGTATTATAAGCAACAGAAACTTGACTGCAACTAATTAAGCAGAAAGGGGATTTATTAAAAGGATATTGGGTATCATTATTCATTAGGGAAACGCAAAGTTAAAATCACAATGTGATATCACCACACACTTATCAGAATAGCTAAAATAAAAAATAGTGACAACGCCAAATGCTGGCAAGGATGTGGAGAAACGAAATACTCATACATTGCTAGTGGGAATATAAAATGGTACAGCCTCTCTGGAAAAGTTCGGCATTTTCTTACAAAACTAAATGTGCAGTTACCATATGACCCAACAATTGCATTCTTGGGCATTTATCCAAGAGAAATGTATACTTATGTTCACATAAAACCTGTACATCTGTAAACCCCAATCTGGAAACAACCCAAATGTCTTTCATTGGGTGAATACTTCAGCTGTGGGTACATCCATACCCTGGAGTGCTGTTGTCGTTGTCAGGTGCTATGAAGTCGGTTCGAACTCTCTGGCAACCCCGTGTACAACAGAATGAGACACTGCCTGGTCCGGCGTCATCCTCACAATTGTTGCAATGTTTGAGCCCATTGTTGCAACCACTGCGTCAATTCATCTCATTGAGGGTCTTCTCCTTTTTCGCTGACCCTCTACCAAGCATGATGTCCTTCTCCAGGGACTGGTCCCTCCTGGTAACGTTCCAAAGTATGTGAGATGAAGTCTCACCATCCTTACTTCTAAGGAACATTCTGGTGTACATCTTCCAAGACACATTTGTTAGTTCTTCTGGCAGTCCATGGAATACTACTCAGCAATAAAAAGGAACAATAAAGCAATGTTTCTTTATAATTTTATGTTTTTGCACAACTTACCCATCTAGTCCCACTGAGGTAAAACTACTCATACTTCAAGACTCAAGTCAAATGTCACCTTCTCTGTGAAGCCTTAGTCTCTGAGGCAAGAGTTAGTCACTTTTGTGTTGCTGTAGCGAGTTGTTTTACTTCTATCACAGTACTTGTCATATTGTTTAAATGCCAGACTCCTCCGCTAGACAGTTAACTCCTTGAGAATGGAAATCATAATCTTTTCCTTTGCACACCCAGCACCTAGTAGTACAGTGCCTGGCACATAGTAGAACATACAGTAAAGCACCACCATGAGGCAGAAAGATGAACCTTGGAGGTTCGCCAAGGCAGAGACCTCTTTCTGGAGTGGAAACTGGGACATGCCAAAGGAGGTGGTCATGGACCTAGCAGCCCTGTCTCTTCAGTTCCCACGATACCCGCCAGATTCAATCTTCATTACCATTCCCTCCTCCCAAGAGACGTGGAAAAAGACAGGACCAACAAATGTGGAGTAGTGAGAAAAGATGAAGAGAATTCAGGAGCTGCCTGCCTGAAGAAACAGCATGCGGAAGGGCCTACGGGAGCCAACAGGAGTCAGGCTATTACAGAAAATTTCATCCTGAAGGAATGAGAATCTTGTTATTAACTATGCCCCCAGCCCCCACTGTAAAAAGACAGCCCTGTAAGTTGAAGATCAGAAGTGAAGTAGGCAAGAACCACATCTAAAATAGAAAAAGATGCCATCCCTTAATAGGTGGTTGGTACAGGTTTGGCAAACGTCCAGGTCAATCAGGGTGACCGGCAAAAACTTGAGTGTGCTATATCCTGACAGGGGAAGAAAAAAATGTGCATCAACAAAACCAAAATACAGCGAAGTGCAGGCAGGAGTGGATGGGTGTCCAGGACTCTGCTCTAGTAGGTAAGAGTGCTCTGATCTATTAGAAGTCCTTGGCTGAAGAAAGGCATCAAGCTGTTTATCATAGTCTAATGTCTTTGACAATTAAGATCTTTCAACTTGCCTGGCTGTAATCCCGTGATTCCCAGGCAACCTTCTGAAAACCCCGTGAGTTCCGCAGACTTTCCTTCGGGGAGAGAATCCACTGACTGCATTGCCTACATAAGGATTCTGACCCAGTTGCCAATTCTATTTCTCTGTGTCACACCACCTCGCTGAGGTGACTCCACTCCCCTGGGAAAGCTGTTTGGGCGGCCTTCCTTCTCCCTCCACGTCTCTTCAATTAAATGGCTTAGGGAGAGAGGAGAACACACGGTGCTGTGGCAAAAGCATAAGCTGGGAGTTGGGTGAGCTGCGTTCTGGCCGAGGCTTCAGTTTCTCCAGCAGCACAAGGAGTGTAGGGCCTTCTCGATAAATAAGACTACCTCCGGGTCTAACATTCCGGTATCGGGGGAGCTAGGTCTCCTGTGGAACTCAGCCAGGCCCGACTCACAGAACCCCCAACCAGGGCCCTTGCAGTTCTTGGAGCTGGGATGGGCTCGAATCCACCTTGAGCCGCGCTTTCCGAAGATGGCCTCCAAGACACGCGCTTCCAGCAGTGTTGGGGGGGGTGGGGAGAAGGAAGGAAAAACGAGCACGCGCGTTCCGCCCAGACTCTTAGAATCCCGAGAGAACGGGTTCAGGTTGCTGCCACTATCACGAGGATTAGGCGGAACTGCGAGGTGTTACTCAGGAATCGGAAAGCTGCTGATTGGCTCCCAGGGTCGGCGGGCGCAGGCAGCTTGCGCTGCCTCGCAACCCTAGGGCGGGGCTCAGGCTTCAGTTCCGGACTGCTGGAGAAACGGTCGCACGCCAGGCCCTCGGATCATTGCGGGTGAGCTGAGGTGGGGAAAGCAGAGGCGAGGCCCGGGGTAAGGAGGCTCATGGCTAGTCTGAGGCCGCGAGTCCGTCGCTCGGACTGCTGCAGCACCTGTCCCACCTCAGACTCGCTGCGTGCGCTCTAGGCAAGGCAGCCACCTCTCCAGGCTTCACCTGTAAGCCGAAAGGGCAGAACTGAGATCCCAGAATCAAAGCGTGGCACCTGAGAAGCAATCTGGTCCGACCCTCCCGATACCTGTGTGGAGACACTGGTAGGCAGAGGGGAGGTATGGCGCCTGGGCTCGGGGCCAAGTGTCTGGTGGGAACAATTTCTAAGTTCCCACCGGACCCACTAATACAAATAACGCTGTGAGCCTGACTTGTGTGCCTCTTCTCTTATTTTCCTGCCTCTTGGGCCGGCAAGGCTGCGCACCCCTCTGCAGCCCGCTCGCCCACCACTCTTTTCCCTTCCTGCAGGAAGATCTTGGAGCGCACGGCAGCATATTGCTGTGTCTTTGAAAAACTACAGATTCTAGAAAAGCTGAGTCCCTGCCTTGCTATTTCCTGATCCCATTTGAGAGTAAACAGCCCGGTGAGCCTGTGGAGTGAAGGCGACCATGCATTCGTTAGTTCATCGATGTTTAACAAGGACTATAATAAAATGCAAAGCTGTGGGCTAGGTGCTGGGGATACAGAGATTTACTGGGTACAATCCCTGCTCTCCTCCAACCGTGGAAGGACATACCAGAAGGGATTTCAGGAGAAGAGGGATAGATTTGGGAGACATGCTAACGGGTGGATTATCCAACAGGCAAGTTAAGCACGGGCTTTACCTTGCTTACCAGATCATCTGTAGTGAATAATTTCACACGAGTTTCACTCCATCAGAGATCTTTGTTCACTACAGATTAGTAAGCACAGGTAAGCCTGTGTTTACCTTGCTTCCTGGGTCATCCGCCCCCGTCAGGATTGTATATTTGAAAAGAGGCTTTGATTCTGTAGGAGGGTGCTGTGTGGTTGGGAAAGAGACAGATGCCAGCCATACCTAGAAGCAGAATCTTTGACGTGGTGAAAAAATGTGAAATTGTTCACTACTGATCTGGTAAGCAAGGTGAGCACTGTGCTTACCTTGCCAGTTGGATAATCTGCCCCTGTGTGCTGAGGCAGACTTTACTAGACTTTGTAACCCTTTGGGGGTGAGACAGGGAAGAGAAATCAGAATGACTCTTGTTTATTGGCTGATATATCTTGCACAAAGTTTAAGGTCCAGCTCTCTTGGTTGTAGGGCAAAGCTTCTAAGATTCTGGCACAAACCTTGGGATTGGAAAATATTTGCTTCCTGAGGGCTTTTTCGGGAGTTTAGTAAAATACTGTTTGCAGGAAATAGAGGCTATAGGATTTGAATCACACACATTTCTTTCCCTATATTTACTTGCTTTCAAGAGCTAACGTGATCTGTGTCATTAGTTCCTTGATTTGGATTCCTTGTATACAAAGGAAGAAGGCAAATGTAAGCTAAAAAAAAAAAAAAAGAACTTTAGAAGTATAGAATATTAGAGCTAGAAGGACTTGTAGAGATGATCTAGTCCAACTCCCTTTTAGAGGAGAAATGACTAGTCTAAAGTTTCAGAGCTTAGGTAGTAGAGGTGAGACTAAAATAAAAGTTCCTGTTCATTACACCAGGATGTCTTTATGATGGTGTGAGTTGTCCCACTTTAAGCTGCTTTAGAAAACAAGGCTCTTCAAACGGGCTTAAAAAGCCTCATTCAAGGATGTTATAGGAACATTTTCTGGACTAGAAGGGAGCTTGGCCTTCACCAGTTACCTTTAAGGTTCCTTTTACCTTTAAGAATCTATGATTCAAGCCCCTGGATTCCCTATTAGGCCAGAACTAAAACAGTTTCCAAGGCCAACTCTTCAGACAGGGATTGGACTGGACTGTGGGACATAAAGTGATACTCGTGAGGAGTGTGCCTCTTAGCTCAAGTAGATACAAGAGACTAAATGGGCGGCTTCTGTCCAGAGGTGAGATGGGAAGGCAGAGAGGGTTAGGAGCTGGTTGAATGGACATGGGAAAGCAGGGGTGGAAAGGAGGAGTGTGCTGTCACTGTATGGGGAGAACAATTAGGGTTGCATAACAATGTATGTATAAATTTTTGTCTGGGAGACTAACTTGAAATGTAAACTTCATTTAAACTACAACAATAAACAAAACAAAACAAAAAAAGAATCTATGATTCATATCAAATTCAGAATTATCCTGAAATCCTTTAAGGCTTTGGGAGTCGAAAAATTACTCCAACGTTTCAGCTTGGAGTTAAACCTTCAGTTCCATATTACATTGTGAAAACTGGCCTTATACCAGTTTACAAATCTCCAGAAGGAATGTTAACATTCCATGTAAAGTCTTAAGCCCAAATACAGTGTGACAGAATATATTGGTTCCCAGAAGTTTCAAGTGCAAAGATTGTTTTGAAACCCCATTCAGGCTTTGTCACAATATCTGTGGTGAACAAAACCTGGAATGGCTTAACTTCCTTCTGAAAGAAAATGCCCTGGTCACGAGAAGTGATTGTCAAGAATGTGGTAATTATAACAGGCGGGGAGAACTTGCCAGTGACACCAGGGGCTATGCAAGTGTTGAGGCAGGAGACATCGCATTGGGTAGGAGAATCAGGGGAAGCTGTGGGGTGGGGGCAGGGGAGATGGCATTTGTGGTTTATACTTTTATTATCACTTATCAGGCTGTAGTCCTAGGACTGAGGCATAGAAGGAAGGGGTCATATAGGAGAGCCTTAGCATACATCCTTGAATTTTATCCTCTTCCACTCACTGGAATTAGTTGGGCCTTTGCTGTGATAGATCTGAAGTGATTAGACATTAACAGTAATCTCTCTACGCTCTGAATTTCTGCAATAGTTTTGGCAGATACTAATTTGATAGGTCATAAACTCAGGTATAACTTTATTTTTGTAACTGGCTTCAATTTTTTATTTCAAGCCCCTATTTCCCTGGGCAGTAGAAAACTTACTCTTTCCAATTTAAGGTAAACTCAGTCACTTCGGTGTTAATTCAGTCATTTCAGGTTTATACTTAGTTAATTCAGGGTTTTCTTTGGCATTCTATTAGTTTATCACTTACTGCCTTATAACTTGTTATTTTGAACCATTTTTAAAATTTTTGTTTAGGATTTCTATGACTGTGAGCTAACTTTTCAGATGTTAGAGAACTCTCTAAGCTCATCTGCATATTTCTCACAGTGCCTCACTGATCTTTGTGCATCAGTCAACAGTTTTATATTTAAGGTAGAGTGAGAAGCTAGAAGATGAGCCTTATAATCTAACAGAACTGTGAATAGAAAGGTCCCTCGGTGGCATAAACAGTTTGTGCTCGACTGCTAACCTAAAGGTTGGTAGTTCGAACTCACCCAGCGCCACTGTGGAAGAAAGGCCTGGCGATCTTCTTCTGTAAAGAATATGGCCAAGAAAACCAGTTCTACTCTGTAACTCATGGGGCTGCCATGAGTCAGAATCTACTCGATGGCAACAGGTTTGGTTTTTTTTGTTTGGTGAATAGGAAAGTAAGAACACTGTGTTTGAATTCCTATTTTAACTCAAGACCGATGGTGGTGTAGTTAAAAGGACATAATCATGATTAAGAATCTGGAAAGCTGAGTTCTTACTGTAACCTGGTATGTAACTTTGGGCAAGTCGCTTAACCCCTCAGGAGCTGAATTTCCCCTGTAAAGTTGATGGGGAGGAGGAGGACTTGGACTAGATGATATCCAAGCTGCTTTCCTGATCTGTGTTCTGTCCCTGGGAACATACCTTCATAAAGTAATTTAAAACTCACTTTATGGCCCAAGGATTTTTTTTTTTAATTGTACTTTAGATGAAGGTTTACAGAACAAACTAGCTTCTCATTAAATAGTTAGTATACGTCTTGTTTTATGACATTGGTTATCAACCCCACCACGTCAACACTCTCCCCTTCTCGACCTTGGGTTCCCTATTACCAGCTTTCCTGTCCCTTCTTGCCTTCTAGTCCTTGCTCTTGGACTGTTGTGCCCCTTCAGTCTCATTTTGTTTTTTGGGCCTGTCTAATCTTTTGGCTGAAGGGTGAACCTCAGGAGTGACTTCATTACTGAGGTAAAAGGGTGTCCGGGGGCCATACTCTCAGGGTTTCTCTAGTCTCTGTTAGGTATGGCCCAAGAATTTATACTCCCTTGCCAAAACATCTACTTCTTTATCCCATTTACTAGTTTGATTTTTTAAATTTATGAGTAAAAACTAGTAATCAAAAATAGTAAGTCATTAATATAGAGAAATATAACTGGTCTGCCTTGAGAAAAGTCATTGAAATAAATATATTCATTATATGTCTCATTTCCATTTTTTTCCCCCACCCCAGACACAATGTCAAGTGGAGATGATCAGCAATCACAGGCTCTTGCAAAACCTGCTTTCAGTGAGGTACAAGCTTCTTCATTAGTGGAATCGGTATTTGGATTAAAAGTTTCCGAGGTCCAGCCACTTCCCAGCTACGATGACCAAAACTTTCATGTGTACATTTCAAGAACCCAAGACACTGCAGATGGCCCAACTGAGTATGTTCTCAAAATAAGCAACACAGAGTCTAGCAAAAATCCAGACCTGATTGAAGTGCAGAGTCACAGCATCATGTTTCTGCAAGCAGCTGGATTTCCGACAGCCTCCATGTGTCATACTAAAGGAGGCAACATCACATCTCTTATGTCCATAGGTAAGAGATGACCAACTTGCCGGTCTATTCGTGCATTTCTGTAGCCAACATTACTGCATTTTGGCTACAAGTGGAAAAATCAAGAAGAAATATCAGTAACAGATTCACACATTTTGATCAAAGATTCTATAGAAGAATCCTGATCAAAAGGGGAAAAAAATGCAGAACAGAACTTCAGATTCTCATAGAATCTAGATTTTCTGGAGCCACGGAGGTCGTTCAAACCCCTGAAACTACTGCCCTGAGATAATCTTTAAACCTTCAACCAGACAGTAGTTTAGCTTAACTAGTAAAGAATGTCTTCCTTGAGCATTGAGCTCTTTTAAGATCTGTCTCTATGGGATCAAATTGACAAGAGCAACTCAAAAGTTTAGGTAGGAAACTTAGGAGGCAGTGAGTTTATGTTAATGAGGGAGGAACAACTTGGAAAAGGAGAATGAGAATGGTTTCCCAACTGAAAGAATGTAATCAATGTCACTGAATTGTACATGTAGAAATTGTTGAATTGGTATATGTTCTGCTGTGTATATGCTCAACAACAAAAATAAATTATTAGAAAAAAGAAGAAGTTCACAATTCCAAGTGCAGACATGGTTAATTTTTTGATGGTTGAGAGAAGCAACGCCACATCACCAAAGCAGAGATTGGGGCTTTGATTCTGAAGTGATTAGAGCCAGGATCTAGTATAACTCTTCCACTTAGAAAGGCCCTGATGGATAAATAACTATGGGAATGTGTAGAAATCAGAACAGCTTTTTTTTTTTTAACCAGAAAAATAAAGATATTTATTCTTCAGACCAGCAGGATATTATGGTGCTGTGGTGTAGTAGAAAAGATACAAGACTGGGAATCAGGAATTTTAGATCCCAGCTCTGTCATTAACTGTATAGGTGACCTTGGGCACGCCACTTAAATTCCTAAGGCTACATTTCCTCATCTATAAGATTTGGTCCCTTTCACCTCTAAATGTTAATATATACCTAATTCAGTTCTCCAGGTAGCAGCCTGAAGTCAACTCCTTGGAGTTTTCTAAAGGTGTGAAATCATGACTGTCCTTTTCTTTCTTAACTTTTCAACCGTTCTTTCTTAATCTGCATTGCTCCGAACAACTGAAATTCATTATGGTCCTTGAGGGGTAGTTATTGTCCTGTGTTCGGAACACAGGCTACACGCCACTTTGCCTCTGAGGAAGTCTGTGATTTCGGAACAGTCATTTCTTTATACCTCAGTTTCCTCAGTTGTAAACTTATATAGAGTGCGTGTTTGGGGCATTCATTTGCCAGAGGAGGTGATTTATGTTTAGAGATAAGACAAGTTGTTGGTATGAACATGGCCAATCCCAGTTTTCTTCAGGTCTATCTGTTCTACCTCCTTGCTCTGTCCTCTTAGCCCTGCCTCATGGAGTCCTGCTCAGTAAGCTGTTTTAGGTTAGCACATTTTTTTCTCTTTTTCTATAATTTCCATTATTGTTTGCAATTATTTCTAGGCAGAATAGCCTCTAATGATTTCTTCTGAGGATATCTGACAGTATAACTTGTTCCATCCATCTAGACAATGGCTCTGAAATCAAAAGCTACTTGGTAAGGCTGATGACTTATCTCCCAGGAAGACCCATAGCTGAGATTTCCGTCAGTCCCCAGCTATTATATGAAGCTGGAAGACTAGCTGCCAAATTGGATAAGACACTGGAGGTAAGATTTGGGGTTTTATTTTGTTTATAAGATTTTTCTATTTTGTTTTGTTTAATAAACCCAGGGTCAGATTTTCTTTTTATGTGTGGTGCTTACTAAGGTGTGTTAGGAAGGAAATGGCATCCTAGATGTGTGAATTTTATGATAAACAGTAGAGCTGCCTTCCCAGGTCTGTACTTTACTGCTATATTAGTAAGATTACCTTTTTTTTTTTTTTTGGCTTTAACGAACAAATTTTTTCTCTCACAGTCTAGGAGGCTAAAAGTCTAAATTCAGGGTGCCAGTTCCAGGGGAAGGCTTTCTCTCTCTGTTGGCTCTAGAGGAAGATGCTTGTCATCAGTCTTCTCTTAGGTCTAGGAGTTTCTCAGCGCAAGGGCCCCAGGTCCAAAGGTCTGCTCCTGGCTCTTTTTCTTGGTGGTATGAGGTCCCTCTCTCTCTCTGCTTACTTCTCTCTTTTATATCCCAAAAGAGATTCATTCAGGATACAGCCTAATCCTGTAGATTATGTCCTGCCTCATTAACATAACTGCCTCTAATCCTGCTCGTTAACATCATTAACATAGCTCTTGTTAACTTACTGCACCACCAGGGCTCCCATTAACATCATAGAGGTTAGGATTTACAACACATAGGATAATTATATCAGATCACAAAATGGAGGACAACCACACAATACTGGGAATCATAGCCTAACCAAGTTGACACACATTTTTGGGGGATACAATTCAATCCATAACAGTGAGGTATGATTTTACTCACTTCTACTGTAACTTTGTGTGCTAAGTATTATTAACTCCATTTTATAGGCTAAATGGATGCTCAAGGGATTATGTAACTTTTTAGAAAGTCATGATATTCTTTATGCTGCTCACTGAAGACAGTCTGTATCCACAAACTGAAGCCTAAAGTTTTCATCCAGATAAGGTGTAATCAGCCTGAGGTTTATATACAATGATAGCTAAGTTATAATAGATTAAAATGACTTTTGTTAAGGATGTTTTAGTTCTATGTTGCTGTTGTTAGGTGCCATTGAGTTGATTTTCAACTCATAGCGACTCCATGTGGCAGAGTAGAACCGGCCCCATAGTGCTTCCTCTTTACAGGAGCAGATGGCCAGGTCTTTCTCCTACAGAGCTGCTGGGTGGGTTCAAACCGCCAACCTTTCAGTTAACCATTGTGCTACCAGGGCTGTTTTCAGTCCTATAGGAACAATATTATGTATGACAAATATTTTTCCAGCCAAACCCACAAAACATCTTCATTTAGTCAACAAAAATTCTTTGAGTACCTTTTATGCGCTAGGCACTGGGGAGACGGAAAGGATTTGAAGAATAATGAGACACAGACCCTGTCCTAGAGGTGTGTTCCAGTGGGGCAGATAACATTTGAAAAAGTAATTACACTTTGTATGACTAAAATACATTTTTGTTTTAAGTAAAATGCAGTTCGTGAGTAAAGCACTTCTAACCACTCACCATATCCTGACAATTCTGCCTCTCAAATGTCTCTGCAATCCATCTTCTTCTTTCCATTTCTGCCGTGACTGTCCTAGCTCAAGCTTTCATCCCGGTTTCCCTGGATCACCACTATAGCCTCCCGGCATCTTGGTTTTTCTCCTCCAGTTTATTCTTTATACCAGTCAAGAGTTACTTTTTAAAATGACAAATCTGACCACTTCAGTTCCATGGTTAAAACCTTTCCATGGTATCTTCGTTGGCTAGTGCTGCCATAACAAAAATACTCCGAGTGGGTGGTTTTAAAGAACAGGAATGTATTGTCTCACAGTTTTGAAGGCTCGGAGTCCAAATTCAGGGTCAGCAGAGCTATGGTCTGCCCACTCTCGGGGAAGATCATTGCTTGTCTCTTTCAGCCTCTGGCAGCCTGAGTGTTTCTTGGCATTCCTTGGCTTGTGGATGGGTCCTCACATGGCATCTTCACCCTGGGTGTGAGACTCTCCATGTCTGAACTGCCCTTTATGAGACACCACTCAGAATGGATTCGGTTTAGCACCCACCGTACTCCCTGTGAGCTCATTAACATAACAAAAGAAAACTCTTATTTCCAGAGGAGGTCACATTCACAAGTACAGGGGTTAGGACTTCAGCACATCTTTTTGGGGGACACAGTTCCATTTATAATAAGCAGATTCTCACTGCCTTCAAAATAAAGATCCTCGGTGTGGCGTCCAAGGCCTTCATAGCCTCATCCGTGCCTCCCTGGGGCAATTGTATGGCTTGCTGATTTGTTTTCTGTCTCTCAGGAATCGCTCCTTTAATATCTGCTGTCTAGTTACCGGAAAAATGTCTAGTAACAACTTGAACACACTTTGTGTAATGTTTTAGCTGTTTCAGGTAGGAGGGTAAATCCGGCCCCTGTTAGTCCATCGTGGCCAGAAGCTGTAGTCTATGTTATAGTCTAAGTAGTATCTATTTATCTTTTTATCCTGAAATAGAAATAACCCTTTTTTTTAATTATTAAAAAATCCTTCAGTGGCTCATTATTTAAAGAAAATCAGATAAATATACAAAGAAAAAAATTAAAAGTTACCAGTAATTCCATCACCCAAAGAGGACTACTATATCTCTTACTATTTATTCCATTAGTCTAAACCCACATTGTCCCACAGCCCCTGGGGCATAGCTGGTGCTCAGTAAATGTTTGTAAACTGACATTCTTCTGCGCTTACAATAATCACCATGTCACATTGTACTCTATTCATTTACTTTACAAATATTTATTGAGCAATGCAGTGCCTTATATATGTGTGGTAAACATTATTAAACATTTCTGTTGAAATAGTTTTCAATTAAGTTGGAGCAAATTCAGCTCCTTTAAAATATCCATTTGTAGATATGAATGTACTTTGGATTAAAACAGCCTGTTCTAATTAAATGTATTTTCAGGAAATTTTCTTCACATATTGATTTTATTTAGAAAAACCTTTTAACTGATTGGAATGCTCAGTTAAGTCTCTATTATCCTCAAAATCAAATCTAAATGAGCTGCTTAAATAAGTGTCTGTTACAACAGGAATGCGTTCTCCTTTATCATCCGCTTTCTTTCTACCTTGTCTGTGGGTTTCATGCTTGTGCTTTACTGCCACTGAAGGTTCAACTTCTCCTGTTGTACTCTGAAATGGCAAACACAGTTTACAGAGGGAGATCATTGCTGATAGTGAATTCTGCCGTGCAATTAGCCACCTGCTGCTCTGCAACTTATTTTAAGTTGTCTTGCAGGGGGCAGAGGAGTTCTAGAATGAACCAAGAAGAGCATTTTTCACTTGGTACTGCAGTGCATTTCATCATGCTTTATTCCCATGGCCCATCTCCCCACTTCCCCTCTCCCCATGCCTTTGCAGATGGTAAGTTGTTAGTTTTTCTATGTTATTGTTGTTTGTTACCATCAAGTCAGTTCTGCCTCATGGCAACCTGGCATGTGCAGAGTAGAACTGCCCCATAGGATTTTCCAGGCTGTGACCTTTTGGAAGCAGATCACCAGGCCTGTCTTCTGAGGCACCTGTGGGTAAGTCTGAACCACAGCCTTTCAGCTAGTAGTCAGGTGCTTAACCATATGTGCCACTGAGGGACTCCTAGTTTTCTATAAGCACTAGGAACCGTGGAGTCTATGAACAATAACACATGTGTAGTGCCACTGGTAAAGGCAGTATTTTAGTCCTGTAGGTGAGGCAGAAGCTGCAGCTACTCTGCTAGACATGTGGTTGAGCCATTGAATCTTGTAGCAGCTGGACAGGCCTGGGGATCCAGAGTAGACAGGAGCCCTGGGGTTTGTAGGAGCCAGAACTGAGGTGTTCACAGGTGGGGGTGACCAACTAGTCTGGACTGGAATTTGGTTGCTACTTGGTCAAAAAATGGACCGGAAGCCAGTATAAGGAGATTCATTTAAGTATGAGAGAGAAGAAAATATAAGGCAGGGTAATGAGTATGTATGATTGCGGTCAGAGCTTTGAACTAGAGGACGCAAGGTGCGTGGGAAATGGGAAGTGGAGTGAGAAGTGGGGAGTGAGGAAGCTGACAAGAGGTGGGCTGACATAGACTAATAAGGAGTGGTGATTGAATTACCAGAAATTCATGTTCGTGTGCCAAGGAGCCAAAAGGATAAAGAAGCCAGAGAAGTCAGCCAGATCAGGT